TCGATTACATATTTTGATGAAATAAAAATATGTAATTTTATTTTATATATTTAGGGTGTTAGAACTATTATTTTATAGCTTATCTAGATACAAGTCTTATAGTCTTTATAAAAATATATCTATTTAGATATTTTAATAATTTATTTATAAAAATACTTAATGACTTATTGAAGGTTTCAATATGAAATAAAACCATTAAAAAATCCAATAGGCCATAGCAGACTTTATAAAAGGTGAGGCTAGGCTTAATAAAAAGTCTATGACAAATAATAAGCCAAATTTAGACTTCAAAATTATTAAATAAACCAGAACTATTTATGTAAAGCCTAGGTTAATCCAACCTATTTTTATCTCTATTTGTAGGCAAGTTTAAGTCTTTAAATAGACTGAAAAATAGTTTAAAAAATATTATAGTAAAATTTAATTCAACAAAATCATTATATTATTTATATTTATTTAAACATATCAGCCAGTTAAATTGAAAAGACTTTTAGAATGACTTTAATCTTATCTTTTTTAACTAATTGACTTGTTAAGCAAATAGGCCTACCTTGGCATAGGGCTAATGTGTCCTAAATTCTAGGCCCTCAACAAGTGACATAACCTAGTTCGATCCTTATATTTTTGGAAATGACTTGTACCTTTAACTTGTCGTCTTAGTGATATAATACGAATTTTCAATGTATACTAGGTTTAGGGGATTTGTTAATATGAACAGGATATATTCTAAATGAATAATGTAAACATGTGTCATCATTTGGAACTCTTTTAGTTTGCATTTTTTGTTTGAACTTTTGAATGCTTTGCAGCTTATGAAGAGAAGTACATGTTGGTCATCCCCCGCGTAAAATTAGAACATGTAATGTTAGAGGCAGCCCATCAAGCAAAGAACATAGTTGGGTCAAAGGTGGTGTTGAACATGTTTTGCCACTTGTAGAGTCATTTCATCTGTATGATAGAATAGGGAGGGCTGTTTCCCATAATGAAATGCTTGAAGTGGACCGAATTCCAGCAATTGTTGAATTGTGTCCAGGCAGGTTTTGACATGACTGAGTACCCTACCAGGAGAAGGACCTTCCTGTTTACTGTGTTGCTGGTAGGATATTTGATTTTGAGAAAAGATTTCCAAAGGAAATTGCTCTTGGCAAAGATATAGATGCTCATGGGTTTTGGCATAAGAAAAAGAGATTGGATGAAGATACAAATTCTATGGTGATGCTTTCTGATGATATCCAAGGTTCATGAAGACAAATGCTTTTTTCTTCTCTTTCTCTTTCTCTCTCTCAGACACGCTCTCACATTCTGTCCTTTGTCAACTATGTTTACTATGTGCATGGTTCTTTGCAGGTATTGCAGTTCGAGGCATGAAAGCCTCGAAGAAAATGAGCACAGGAGCTTCAAAACTTATGGAGAAGTATGCTGTACAAACTTGTGGATATTGTCCAGAGGTACAAGTGGTACCTAAAGGTCAGAGTACGGAACTGTAAAGCTTACAAACACCAAATGAGGGATGGGCAACATGCATGGCAGGAGGCTACAATTAATGATTTGGTACCTCCTGCATATGTTTATCACGTTCAAGATCAGGAACTTGGGAAGCCTTTGGTAAATGAGTTGAAAAGGTACTATGGTACGCTGCCTGCAGTGGTTGAGCTATTTGCCAAGGCGGGGGCACTAGTTGAGAAGAATTATGAGTGTACGATGAGGGAAGATATTGTAATCCCTGAAATGGATGAGGAAAAGTGGGTTGTATAAAGCAATCAGTTCAGTGACTTGAGCGTGGAGGAACCATTTGGGCACTGGAAGAGTCTAAATATGAAAAATTAAGGAGTTTCTTTCAAATAATAGCTTGTCTTTGCTGGACAAGATATAGTAAGTGTCCAGTGTGGGTAATTATTGATCTTGTGTTCTGCCGGCAACTCAAGGTTGCAGTCTTGATTATATGGAACACAACTGCTTTTGGCACCCTCTGCAGGTAAAGGACTTGGATTTCTTGCTTGGATTCCTTCAAGAATGCTCTTCATCTCTCTACCATTCTCATTTGTAACTTCATTTAGTTTCCTAGTTGACTATGCTTGACGTGATACAGTAATATTTTGTGGTATAATTTCCTTCTACTAAAACCACAGAAAACCTTAGTCCACAGGATTAATTTAGTATTTTCTGTTACATAAGAGGCAAAGATATAGTTGATGATGCACTAGCTAAGGAGGAAAAAGAGTCTTGCCAAGTATATTACAAGGAGGAAGAAAGTTGATAAAAGGAACCAAGGATTTAATTTAACAACCATAAATTAGTTTCCGGGTTCCCACTCCATCAGATTTGTAGAACAGGTATATCCTCTAGTTTTTTTAAATATTGTCTTCTTATTTTCTTGAACACCTTGGCTACTTTGAGTGGATGATTGCTGTACATTTGTTTCTCGACTGCTTTCCCTGAAATTGCTGTCACTAATATTGAAATACCACATCCATCGAGAAAGGAACCCTACTAAAAATGACTCAACCCGTTTAAACAAACAGAACCACCAACCTAACCCAAGGTTATTTGCTTGAGTGGCTTCTTGTTGAAATGAATCAGTGGATTAATTTCAAGTGTGGTTGGTGGGCGTCCCTAATGTCAGGAATATATTTAGTGGGAAAAAATATTTTTAATTGATTGAAGAGCAATTTATTCGCTTTAATCATTAATAAAAAAATCTTTTATATTTTTAATCAAGTACCCTAAATACAAACTATGGATGTGGTATGTTGTTTCAACATTATGATTATGAAGTATTTGGTATTCAGATTGTAATCAGAACTGTCTGCACCACTTGACGTTCTGTTTCACTTTCATATACTGGGATGTACCTCAAACAATGAATATATTCTGCTTTATTCATATTATTCACTTTCAACTTCTGTTTACAGTAAAGCGCATTATATCAATCTTGTCTTCTGTTGGTGCATCTTCTGTTTGAAAACATCTTCCTTTTTATGCAACTTTGGCACCCACTGGCTTGTGGTGTAGCCAAATGTTTTCGTTTTACTATTGAAGTATATGAAATTTAACAAGAAGCCTGAAAATTCTTGATAAATGAATCAAGATCAAGCAAATTTAGGTTAATTTGATTCTGGATTTATGCTTTTATTTCTCCCTTTCTCTGTCTCCGTTTTCAATATAACGAATAATTACTAGCTTTGTGTCTTTTAGAAACATGAGTATTCTGATATGATTTCATTATGTTGGTATAGTACCTTTGACTCATTGAAAGACACTACTGCTATGAAATGTGGTCACACAATGCATGTGAATGTTGCCAAGGGATGATATAATAAATATTTTCAATTTATATTCAATGAATATAAATTTAATTGCATAAAAAATTGTGCATGACATTGAATTGTTGCATTTGTTTTTGTCTCTTGTACCACAGTACAGTCCTGCTTTATAAGTTGTATAACTTATCACCTTATTTATGTTTTTTTTCAGAGAGAAAATGGCAGAAGTGAATTGAGACTTGACAGTTTTAGTGTGTTCAATATTGCTCGACAATGGTTAATGATGAGCCTTACAATGGCACATTAACAGTTTGTAATTCTGATTCTATTTACATCCTTTGCTCTCTCTGTCCCCCAAAATTTGATGAAGTTTGGCTGTGACAGTTGGGTTTGCGTGGGAACTTACGAGACTAGAAATTGTCAATTGATGTATTAATTCTTGCAGGGATGAGTGTTATATGAATGCATGAGTTCGTGCTATTCCAAGTTGTAGTTAATGGTTAAGTGTTGTGAATCCCGTGAAACTTGTCACAATAATTAATAATTAATCTTGGTCTGAATTTGTAGTTAACTTTTTTAACATCATTAATATTTTGTTGTCCATAAAGCTCTTACTCTAGCCCTGTAGTTTTTTTACCCATAGGGCTTTTAATTTATTGGACATTTTGGCCTTAATCCCTATGGGTTAAGGATAAGAGTGCAACCAGCAGCCCCAGCAATCACGCAAGTTATATCAATAATAGAGCTAGCTTCCTAGTGGCTATGCCACTTTGAGTTTGACCACCCTCATATTCTTCTGGTTGCATATTCTTTTGAAAAATGTAAAGAAACATCATGACGTATATAACGACAACAGATGTGGTACGACAATGGAAGGGCGGGTAGCCAACAAAACTGGGCGTATGCACCGTCACCTTTTAAAGTAGTAATCCTCCTCCTACTTTATAAAATAAACATTAAATAAAAAAAAGTTTGCATTTATTATTTATAAAATATAAAAAACATTTAATAACTTTTCATTTAACAATTAAGATGATTTGTAGATATAAAATGAAGGAAGATTTACAATTTTTTTTTAAATTATACATTAGTAAGAAAAAGCTACTTTGTACATTGACCAGCATAGCAAGCAATTATATCATGATGCATTTTTTATTCATGGTTCTCTTCCCAAGTACCACTCATCTTGGGACAAATTATACCCTTATAGAAAACAAAGCACAGAGTTAAGTGCTACAGAATTCTATTTTATGCCTGAAATAGAGGTGAGAAAAGAGGTATTCAATCCAAAAGACCCTCAGGAGCTTATTCAACTAATCCAAAAAAAGTTCACAAAAGTGATCCATAAGGATAGTTACGGGATAATCCGTTCCAACTAAAGAGTGTCCCTAGCTAGCCTCAACGAATGCGAATACTAGCATAAGTTACAGTAAATGTATAATAAGGAAGCAGAGCCTTTGTCCTTGGCATGCTTTTGCAGGAACTACGACCACCTTTGCAGTCAGGAAACCTAACTCCTCAACTCCCACACCCATGGAAGTGTTATTCAACAAATGGTTAAACTGTTATAAATAATCCCAAGCATGAATTTTTTGGTCAATCAATAAGGAAATAAACCACTTCATTGGTTCCTACCTGTGCCATTGGTAGCAGCCATCCTTGATTTTTATGACATGGTAAAAGTGCATCAGCAAGTAATCATACATAACTGCCAGAAAAACAATCGGTGAACTGCTACAAAAATCCATTCACATGTTGATTTCCATGTTGTCTATAAGCCTGACTTTCCCAAACCATGCAGCAACACAGAAGACAACAGGACCCTCGATCCTTTCCACTTTCTCCAAACTATCTTGATCAACAATCTGCAGGCAAAAGTATCTAGTTTGTATACAACCATAACTTTCATTATTCATAGCCTCTGTTTCTTTATTGCTTTGGTGGTCGTTTTAGGAGTTGTTAGGTACAAATATATTTCGGTGAGGCACACATCATCACCAAAGAAACTTTGGCATTAGCTGTGTGCTTTCAAAGAGATGTGAGGATTTTGTTAGACATTCCAAACTAATCACAGAAAAGGAAGATATTTAGCATCTCACCTCAGCATAATCAATCCTTCCACCAGCATCAGTAATACATTGGATGACCAAATTTCTCAACTTCTCACAATGCACCTGACCATCTTCTGCTGCTGATTTAGCTCTTAACAATGATTTGTTAATTGATAGTGCCTGAAAAGGATTGAAAGAAATCATTCTTACCTATTTGTAGATAGAAGTCCAAGTATACTGAAAATTTATTAAGGCTTAGTGCAGCAGAAAGTGAAGATGATATTATGATAACATATTAAAAGCTTGGTAACGTCAATTTTACATTATCATTATTGTCACAAATGCTTAATAATAAATATCAATGCTAGCTTTAAGTAAGTAGCTTTAAGTAAGTTTAAAAACAATTTGAATACAAAACCTTTTCCCTCTCTTCGGTTGAAAGGTGCACATTACGGGAACTCAGTGCAAGGCCATCATTGTCACGTGTTATATCAGCTCCTATCACTTTTATGGAAAAATCAAGATCTCGAACCTGCAAGAAATTAATCAGTCAATCTAAAAGAACCGATGTCTAATAACAGTAATATTCATAGCATCAAATAAATCTGGTAGACAATGCTATCTTCACTGATGTTTCATAAAGTGACTTTATGACCAAATAAGGTTTAACATTAACCATAATGTTATGCCTCCCACTACCCAAGTGTTCACTAGGAAGAGAAAGAACTTCAGATACCTAATGCATTCATGCATTGACAGAGATATTTAATCAGTGGGAATAATATTCCCTGTGATAGCAGAATCAGTGTTAATGGAAACAATATCCCTTGATAACAGAATGCCTGTGTGGCAAGAAGAGAGAGAAGATCAAAGATGAATATGTAGAGGAGGTTGGGATAAAGGTTGGGCAGGGGGAAAGGAAGAGATAAGTGGAAGTTCAGTGTAAGGGTCGGAAAGGTGGCATCAAATCCGTCAGAGTCAGTGCCATCTTCTCTTCCTTTTCTCTCCTCAATTTTCTTCATTAATCCTGGGTGCTAGTTACTGAACCAGGGCGGAGTGTCAGAGGACCTTCTGTTATATGGATGATCTCTATTTGTTACTGATGCCAATATCAACGTTACTGAAGGATTTGTGGGATCTGTAGCAGTATATCAATAATACAAGACCTGATTTTCCAGTATCCTATCAACTGGTATCATAGGTCTCAAGATTCTATACATGGCTGGGAGCATGAGTAGAGGCTCTGTAAGAGGACTTCGGTTCAGATTGATGACCTTGGGAGGGAGTTCGAACTTTGAAAGATGTAGAACAGAAAGCCAAAAGGAAAGGAGATACACAAATCTCATTTCAAAAAAACAGGAAAATCAACAGGATTTGTAGCAGATTCTTATGGGCAAACTGCAGATACAAAGTGTAATTGGCACAGACAAGGATGGAGAGAGGAATTGCAGGAAAAGTGAAATAGGCACTTTCTGGTTAAAACAGACCAAAGGAGCTTCAAGTACTCAACAAAGTAGATGTTAATGGGAGACAGTATATCTAGTTGATCTGGATACTTGGACTGAGTGCATGTTTGCTTCAGCACTCGTTTCTATTATACATTAGTTTTGTTCAACACAATTGACTGTATCTTTTGCATTGGAACATGGGTAGCAGGGCTATTGGACATGAAACCAAGCATAGGCTGGGGAATTAGGAGAAGCTAAGCTTATAACAATTTAATGATTTAATAGAAGAAAAAGGCTCCAATCCAGGCTACGAAAGGAAGGATTGCCGTTTATTATACAAAGACACCTTAATTTTGCAAGAATACCTATGCCACAGCCCTCAAGGAATTAAACATTATTCCTATATGGGGAGGCATTTGCAGGCTAAGTCAGACATTAAGAAGTACATGGCAGCTTGTGATACATGTAAGAGGAACAAGTACCAAGCCTTGTGTAACATGTGAGCAAAATAATAGAGAGAGATATGCTAATGCTGAATTGGAGGATGGAAAGTTAGTTATATAGAATGGCCACATGGAGGTAGATCTGGAAATTATGGGCCAGAGGAAAAGTATGAGGCCTAGGAGAAAGAATATTTTGCTGGAAGACTTTGTGGCTTAAGATCATTAAGCGTGTGGTATGCTTCTCTCTGATAATTCTCCTTCTCTGGACTCTACTTCTTTCCTGTATTCTGATCCTAATTCTCTTTCTATTGATTCAAAGGTGTTATTCAATATTATACACATTTCATTGGTGCTTTCATTGAGCTTCCATGGCTGAGAATACGCGTTTGAAGGAACTGCAAGCAATGATTAATTCACATGACGTTGAGCTTCGGAGTTTAGTGCAATTGTTAGACCTAAGACACAAAGAACAAAGAGAACATGCTGCTCAAGCGACGTTAGCCCAAACCGAGATGCAAACTCGTTTGGAACAGCTTCAATCTGCCTTGAATCAAATTCCGATCCAGCAGTCTCAGTCTCATGGAGGTTCCTTGTCGAACTCTGGCTCCCCGATCGTAACTTCAATGAATATGGCATTCCCAGTTAAAGACATTTCTATTGGTTTTCCTCATTTTGATGGTACTTCATCTGTGCTAGAATTCATTTTGACAAGGAGGTCGTTCCATGGTTTTAGATGCAACAAAGGTTATTGGCTGTTAACACTTGGCAAGAATTGACAAGAGCTCTTGAATCTCAATTTGGACCCTCTCCATTTGATTGTCCTATGGCGGAACTTTTCAAACTGCAACAAATAGGTACTGTTTCAGATTGCTACCTCAAATTCATGTCCCTTGCAAATAGATCCTTTGGATTGGGTGATGAAGCTTTGTTGACTTGTTTTATTAGTGGACTTAACATCAATATTAAGAGGGATGTGGTAGTTCAATCCCCATCTTTGTTGTTAAGAGCCGTGGCATTAGCAAAATTGTATGAAGATAAGTATCCCTTTCCGATTAAAATGCACATCGCTTCTGTTCGCCGATATTCCTCTGTGACTTCTTATGTTTCTCCTCAGAGTCAAGTTAAACCTGTGAATAAACTTGCCTTACCTCCTCTGCTTCTTACCCCTAATGGACCACAGTTAAAGGCTGCCATTATTAAAAGGATTAGTCCCGCTAAAATGCAAATTCAAAGAGAGAAGGGTTTATGTTATTTCTGTGATGAGAAGTTTACTTTTAATCATAAATGTCCTAATCGTCAATATTTGTTTCTGCAATTGGATGAGGAAGGACAGGAAGGCTGTCAAATTGAGTTAGAATCTGAAGAAGATTAGGCTGCAGTGTACTCGGCTCTTATAAGTGAAGATCATTACTTATCACTCAATGCAATAAAGGGTGGCAAGGGAGTTGGCACAATAAGGTTCTTGGCATATGTGGATAAGCTACTTGTTACTGTTCTGGTTGATGGAGGGAGCTCGGATAATTTTTTACAACCAAGACTTGCTAGAATTTTGAAGTACCAGTAGAGTCAGCTCCTACCATTAAGGTAATGGTGGGCAATGGAAATTATATGGAGGCTGAGGGGTTCGTTCAAAAGTTGACTATTCAAGCTCAAGGGAACATATTCCATCTACCAGTATTTCTACTTCCCATTTCAGGGGCTGATTTAATTTTGGGGCCTAGTTGGTTAAAAACAATGGGTCCACACTTGGCTGATTATGATGCTTTACAATTATGATTTTTATATAATGAAAAACTGGTCACATTACAAGGAGATAGGGATCATGCTCCTATTCAAGCTCAATTGCATCACATACGACATATGGTAACTACAGATGCTATTGCAGAGGCATATAGTATGAAGTTAATGAATAATATTTTTAGAGGAATTTTACGAAGATTTGTGCTGGTTTCTTTTTATGATATTCTAATCTATAGTTCCTCATGAAAAGACTACTTGCTGCATTTGGAATTAGTTCTGCAGATTTTGCAGCAGCATAAATTGTATGCTCAAATGTCTAAGTGTTCTTTTGGAATTCGAGAAATTGACTACTTAGGTCATACTCTCTCTAGAGTAGGAGTAGCCATGGACGATAACAAGCTTAAAGCTGTAAAGGCTTGGCCTCAACCTACCAATATTAAACAGTTGCATGGATTTTTTAGATCTTATTGGATATTATAGGCGTTTCGTAAAAGGGTATGCTAACATAGCAGCATCTTTGACAGATTTATTTAAAAAAAGATGCTTTTCTTTGGAATGATACAGCAGCGGCAGCTTTACACAATTGAAGGAAGCTCTGACATCAGCACCTGTACTTATCATTCTTAATTTTGCAGCCACATTTGTTTTAGAAACTGATGCATCAGGCTTCGGTATAGGGGTAGTATTGAGTCAGGATAATCACCCTATAGCATATTTCTCAAAGAAACTTTCCAATAAGATGCAGAAACAAATAGTGTACACAAGCGAGTTTTTTGCCATTACATAAGCCTTAAGGAAGTTTAGACACAATCTATTGGGTCATAAATTTATTATTAAGACAGATCAGAAAAGTTTAAAGGAATTGCTTGAACAGAGACTACAAACGCCAGACCAACAACAATGGTTGCCCAAGTTTTTGGGCTCTGATTTTATAATTCAATACAAATCAGGGAAAGAAAACATTCCAACTGATGCTTTGTCAAGGTGTTTTATGATGGCCTGATTTGAACCAAAAAATTATTGGCTACACAAAGTAGCTGAGATAACTCAAAATGATGTGAAGCTTCGTGTGCTATATGAATAGTATGTTAACAACAAGACACCGAATCATGACTACGTCGTTAAAGACGGGGTGGTGTTATGGAAAGGCCAAATTATGCTGCCTTGTGATGTCGATCTTATCAATCAAGTTTTTCTGGAGTTTCATTGCTCAAAAATAGGTGGTCATGCAAGGGTTTCTCGAACCATAGCTAGAATTTGTTCTCAATTTTTTTGGTCAGGGATGCAGCAACAAATAAGAAAAATGGTACGTGAATGTCAAATTTGTCAAAAAGCAAAAGTTGAACAAGCTTTACCCACGAGGTTACTACAACCATTACCCATTCCTCATCATGTTTGGGAAGATGTTTCAATGGATTTCGTTACAAATCTGCCTGCTTCTCATGTGTTTTCCACAATTATGGTGGTGGTTGATAGACTTTTGAAATTCGGACATTTCATTCCTTTGAAGGCTACTTTCACTAGTAAAAGGGTTGCTGAAGCCTTTATTAATAACGTGGTGAAACTATACAGTCTTCCAAAATTGATTGATAGAGTTTTCGTGAGTTCTTTTTGGCAACATCTGTTTAAGCTCAAGGTATGATGTTGGCAATGAGTTCTTCATACCATTCTCAAACAGACGGTCAAACGGAGGCCTTGAACAAGACATTAGAAATGTATCTCCGTTGTTTTGTGTTTGACAATCCACAGAAATGGTTCACTATGCTTCCTTGGGCACAATTTTGGTATAATTCTTCACTACATCAGAGTATAGGCATGTCTCCCTTCAAAGCTTTATATGGTCGTGATCCACCGACTGTTATACGTTATGAGGTGAATCCTAATGATCCGGTAGCTATCCAATATGTTCTTCAAGATAGAGATTTGTTATTACAGGCACAGCAGCTCAAGGGGAATTTACAGAAAGTTCAGCAGTATATGAAACAAGCAGCTGATCGACAGAGAAGAGAATTGCAGCTAGAAGTAGGTGATTTGGTATTAGTAAAGTTGCAACCATATAGACAACATTCAGTTGCTCTGCAGAAAAATCAGAAGCTGAGCATGTGTTATTTTGGACCATTTTCCGTGCTGGCTCGCATAGGTGTAGTTGCTTATAAGCTAAACTTACCTGATACAGCAAAGATACATCCTGTCTTTCATGTATCTCTGTTAAAAAAAATTCAATGTTCATCCTTCGCAGCAATATTTTCCTTACCATTGACAACCACGGAGTTAGGACCTGCAGTAGTTCCTCTTTGAGTTTTAGATTCTGGGGTAATCATTCGTAATTCTAAGGCCATTCCTCAGATTTTGATTCAATGGGAGCCTCACAAATCTGCTGCACCAACTTGGGAAGATGTGGATACTTTTCAAAAGATTTTCCCTCAATTCAACCTTGAGGACAAGGTTGCTCTCAATGGGGAAAGTAATGTAACATGTGAGCAAAATAATAGAGAGAGATATGCTAATGCTGAATTGGAGGATGGAAAGTTAGTTATATGGAATGGCCACGTGGAGGTAGATCTGGGAATTATGGGCTAGAGGAAAAGCATGAGGCCTAGGAGAAAGAATATTTTGCTGGAAGACTTTGTGGCGTAAGATCATTAAGCGTGTGGTATGCTTCTCTCTCATAATTCTCCTTCTTTGGACTCTCTACTTCCTTCCTATATTCTGATCCTAATTCTCTTTCTATTGATTCAGAGGTGTTATTCAATATTATACACATTTCACCTTGTCTCCAGTTGGTCTGCTTCAGCCTCTACCCCATACCTCTACAAGTTTGGACAGAAATTTAAATGAATTTTACGAGCTAGATACTATACTGGTAGTCCTTTACCATTTCCTATCTCTATGCCACCCTTTACTGCTCAAGGGATTGCTGAATATTTATCGAGATAGCAAGGCTCAAGCAATGGCCAAGGTGGATGAGTTGTGCAGAGTTGGGTCAATGCTAATTACCATAATTCTACTAAAATGTTCCCCTTCAAAGCTTTATATGCAAGGGAACCTCCAACATTGTTCAGAAGATTTGCAGAAGTAGAAGAAGTGAATCAGTTATTGACAGAAAGGAATTGGTGTTAGATGAGCTGAAAGGAAATTCAATAAGCCTCTTTCAGCTTCTTGAGTCAGCTGCATTCACCCAATATTTCAGGTCTCTATGCCAAAGAAATTAATAGCAGAAGCTTCAACCAGCTAACTGCTGCCAGCCACACCAGCAGAAAATTAGTGGTTAAGGAGGGTACAGCCAGCCAAAGTTGTCTGAGGATAAGACACCTTGACAGAATCCGACGTGCTCATTTGATGGAAAGATTTATCAATTGAAAGTTCCTTTGCTACCATGCAGGAACAATTTCCTGATTTTCACCTTGAAGACAAGGTGAAACTGTTGATACCGTATCACAATCAGTAACAGACTTGGGGGATTTGCAGTAGTAAATCAATAATATAGCAAATGTTTTCTTACTAGTAACCAAAATAATAAAACTTACCGTAGAAAATAATAGCTTTGTAAAGAAATTTATTTTCTAGAACTTAATGGCAACACTCCTACCAAACATGATTTCAGAACCTTCAAATAAAATAACAAACTGATATAATTACTCAGTCAGACAAGATACATCTCACACAAAATACAGAACTATCAAAATGAGTATCGTGCAACAACCACTAAACCTTGTCCTATAAGGTAGGATCACCTATAACATACTGTGAAAGTGAATAAAAACAGTAATTAAATAGCCATTGACTAAGAATCTGATAAGCATTCCTCATTGCACTCCCTCTTAACTTTCCACTTTGTATCAAAAGCAGAAGGAAAGAAGCAGATTCATGTAGCACGACAAAAGTCAAGCTTTAGGGAAAAGGAGACCACAAGATTATTTTATCTCATTCAGCAGTAATACGTCATTATTGTCACTATTCATGTACGTTTTTTAGTCTAACTCCCCAATGCTTCATTATGCAGCAGTTGTGACAATATTAACAGAATGATATCCGACAGAGTTTTTAACAATACATTCAAACAAAACTTCATGCAAATGTACTAATCTCCAAACCAAAAAAAAAAACGAAGGAAATTACAACTTCAGGATGTGAAAAAAAGAAGACAAATTCTTTCTAAGCAAACTAGTGACTGTATTACACTTCAGGTTTCAGGTTCAGAAAAAATTAAAAGACAAACATGTGTTGGGTGCGGACGAACAACATTTAAAGTAAACCTTTTTTCCTTTGAAGATATGTAATTCTGTGGAGAGCAAAACACTAGCAAGACACTCCTTTTTCTCTTCTCGAATTATTAAGTGAATTTCAAGGTGCGCATCCCTAACAATTAGTTGTATGACATTGGAATTCGCCAACATTATGAAGAGTGTTGGGGTCCAAAAAACAAAAAATTAGAAGTCTCGAAGAAAGTATTCCTAAGATTCCTCTTCTTAGGAAATAAGAATAAAGTAAAATACAAAACTTGGATGATAGATAGATACTATTGGGGTTATTTTTCCATCAGAATTGGAGCTTCTTGTCCTAAAGCAAAACAGAAGAAAAAAGTGTTAAAAAAAAGTTTACCATTCTCTGAATAACTCGCCACTGCTGATAATCCTTTTTCCCAAAGACAGCAACGTCAGGGTCCACTATATTAAACAACTTGGTCACAATGGTAGCAACCCCTCTAAAGAAAATGGGCCTACTACTCCCACAAAGACCCTTTTCCAGCTTCTCAACCCTCACCCATGTTTCATGCTTCAACAACCCACTCTTCTCAACACAAGACACAACTCCACCACCCTCATCACCGTCACCCTCATTCTTGGCTACATTCCCATATTCATACAAATTGTGAGGGTGAAAAACAACGTCAACTCCACCCGGAACCGACATGAGTTTTTTTATGTCGCCGTGAAAATCAGAAGGGTACGAGGAAAGGTCCTCGGATGGGGAAAACTGTCCCGGGTTGACGTAGATAGAGACAGCGACAACGTTGGAGTGGTTGCGGGCTTCTTTGATGAGAGAAAGATGGCCTTGGTGGAGGAAGCCCATGGTGGGTACGAGGCCAATGCGTTTGCCTTGGGCTCTCATGGCCCTTGACCACTTCCTCATTTCATCCTTATCAGATATCACATGAGCCTCCTTTGCTGCCATTGGATTTGAAAGAAGCGTGTTGTGTTTCGACGCTTTTCCTCAGAATCTCAATCGAATGCTTAGTGAAGCAAACTCAGAGAAGGTGCTGCAGGGACACCACCCCCAAACCGGCTTAAGCAAATTAAGGAATAAAAAATGAAGTTACGTACATCATTTTTCAGTTCAGAACCTCTTAAATTCTCTCCACTGCAGCCTCTCCAACAAATTAACAGCACACTTTTCAGCTGCAGAGGACAAACCTTCTGAAGAGAATCTGTTCTGTTAAAAGTGGTCGTGCAACTTTCGAATTTTGATTTTATCAGTGATCGCAGCTCAAAATTGACCCACACAATATTATAATCTAAATTTAAAATTCTGTGACGAGTAATAATAACCTGTATAATAGGAATCACGCTTATACAGGTGACAAGCCATTTGAGAACATACAATTAATTACGTTACATAATGACAAGCCATTCGAATTTGACGGAAATCGACCAATGAACTGCTTATATTGTCAAACATCGAATTTTGGAAAATTTAGAAGTTTTAACACTTGAAAATGACTATTTGGTCTTCAGGCACAAACATCTAAATTAATTTTAATTCTTTTATTTAAACTATTAAAACTTAACATCAATTTAAATATAATAAGAAAACAAAATATGATAATTTTTTTATTCTTTATATTTTGAATACAAAATATAATAAATTTATCATATAAGCTTATCTTAACTAACTTAAAATATGTAATTTATTAATTTGACATCACATATATATAAAAAATAAAATTTGTCTTATTGAGTTTTTATTCAACTTTTATATCCTATTTATATATTTTTTATTTTATCAACAAATGAATCTCTTAAAGATGTCTCCCTTTAGTGATGCATAAAATATTTTTTAATTTTGTTATAAAAGAGATTAATTTATACTGTTTTATACGGTACTTTTACAGATCCAAGGGTTCAGAACCAGTTTAATTTAAGTACAACATCCATACCGTAGTTATTTAATATAGTCACATAAGCTTTCAAAATGGGATATCACAGGAAAGTCCTTTGTTTTTTTTTAAATTTTTAATAAAAATAACATTTTATAAATATGATAAATAATTTAATAAAACCTTTTATTAATCTAATTTATTTTACATTGTTTTACTATTTAACCTAAATTCATATTTTCTTTCTAAAACTACTTCTCCCTCCTTAGTTGAGAGGTAAAGTGATTAATAAAAATGACAATATTTGTGACAATTATAGATCAAGGTTTTTGTATCAATAAAAATTGGTGTAGGTTTTTGTATAAATAAAGAGTTCAAAAAGACATATTAAAAAGGAGACAAGTATTTTATACATAGAATCCTTATTTATATTTTAGGATTTTATCCTTTTTCTTTGTTTATTATTGTTAGGAAAATATTAAATAAAGTTATAGTGAGAGCAAAATTAGTAGGTGCCTATTATATTTTTCGCTTCAAAGTAAAACATTTATACTAATCAATAGATTTTTATTGGACAAAATAGAAGGTAATCATTCAAAATCATGGGTTGTTCGTGAATTATGCTTAGGCCATAGATTATTTTAGAGTTGCTACCATATATTAGCAAGTAGTTAAGCATTGAAATGACCAAGGTATATTGACCCTTGAAACTATATATACTTAACACCTTAAGATTAAGTGAATGATTGACGCAAGTTTTACTTCAAAATGTATGTTCAAACAAACTCTTAATGTCACAAGCAATGACCTTTAAATTTCGGCTACATCATTGGTCCTAAACTATTTAAATGTTATGTGAGGCTGCAAATAATCAAAATGGTCAACATCAACAACTAAACCCACTATGAAGATAACTTCATATTCACTATTGAATTAGCAAAGTTTTTTTGTTTTCATCTACTTCAACTTCAAGCTTCAAAATATACTAGGAAGATGATCACGATTGGAATCACTTAACTAGAAAAAACTCATTTTGGTGGTCGAAAATGTCCATATCTCTAGACACTTTCTAAAGCAAGTCAATAATGGTTAGCACCATACCTATGTCTCAAAACGTTTAATTTAGTAAGCGTCAACAATTACACAACACACTACTTAGTGGGACTAGTCTGCATTTAGACACATGATTAGCATATGTATAACAAATAGTCTATAAATAGAACTTTATATCATTATTTAAGGGGGTGGTTCTTTTGGATATTTGTTTAGGATTTTTTGTTTTTCTTCACATTATATGGGGTAGCAAACATTGTACCAAGGACTCTTTAGGCAAAAGTTAGGAGAAAACAATCCAACAAGGATAGGAGTTGTGAAATGAAGATACAAGAATCAAGTTAGAAATCATATCACTCACACATACCTTCACTATACACCTTCTAAATGCATACATTATGATTCCCTTTGACAACATTACAAAAAACATTAAGTATGTATAATTTCAAGTTTTTGATTCAAGTTCATGTTTTATGTACCTTGTCATTTTGAATTATTCAATCCAACATAACATTTCTCAAGTTATTTTCTCTTTGCAATTTCAATTATTTTTTTCTATTTTACCCCTTTCATGCTTATTAATCTTGTCAATTATATTCGATCAACACAAAAACTCCTTTTAAATTTGCGAGAAGGTGTCAATCTAATCCCATAACTCTCTTCTAACAAAACCTAATGGAATTTCATCTCACCAAACCATGATTGCAAGCTAGTGACCATGTCCAATCACCCACCATAGAATCGTGAGAAACAAGGTTGAAAACTTTCAAAATTTGACACTATAACCATCCAAAAACCAACAATAATTACTTATTAAAGGGAAAAAAGAAACTACAAACCTATAATTGATAGCCACAAATACCACCATAGGCCCCCATCAACTTCTACAATGAATAACCATCATTTCATCCTTTACCATGCATCATTACTCATCAAATAACTTATGTGGTGAAGTAAAGAGCTTGCGGTAGTTCTATGGTGTTCAAAAGTGGTTACAATGGCTACTTCATAGTTGAATTTTTATTCATGATGACACGTCAAGGTTTAAGGTAGACAAACACTAAGAAGAGATTGAAGATTAAAAAATGAGGAGAGATTACATGAGAGGAGAAGGTTTATAAAAAACTCTTTAAAACCCTTATAAACTCATTATTTTTTGTTCTCACAATTTGAGATATTTTTCATTAACTCTCTTTCTTTCTACTTTCTCATCTTCTCCCTTACCTTCCAAACTTTTTCCTTTCCTCTCCCTCCAAACACTCCAAAAAATCTATAATTTTTCTATAATAATAATAACATTAAAAAAATAAAATTGATTAATTTCAAAAAATAAGAAATTAACAGGAAAGGAAATTTTTAAAAAGGGACAAAAATTGAATAATTATGTTTATTTAGACTTAAAATATATTTATGTAATAAATTTATTATTATATATTTAAAAGAGTAAAATAATTTTGTTAAATTGAAGATTATTTTATTTAATTAATTTTAAAAGAAATTATCCATTTTTTTTTTAAATTTAGAGGAGCTAACGCTAAAATTAGATGAGGTATAATTTTAAAATCTCGTTTTTTATTATAATTTTTTCTCATTTAAAAAGATTTTTAACATTAAAAAAAAAGGAGCCTTCCTTCCCTTTTAAACACTTCTATTATTGAATCAAACGTAATAGAAATTATAAAATCTCTCTTCAACCCTCACCTCCATTCCTCTCCAACCCAACATTATACAAAGGTAACATTTATACATTTGAGTGGAACAATTAACACAAATCTCAATTACAATTTAAAAAAGTAATTATATCAAAATTAATTGTATTCAATTTTAAAATAACCTATCACTCAGTCTCGTTATTAATTTACATCAGGATATTCACTCAAATTAATTCCTCACATTGTTGTACCTCTCTTCCAAAAAAACAAACAACACCCTCCACTCCATGAAAAGTAGGAAAAAAGAGAAAGGAAACTAGTTCTTCATGCACACCTATTAACCGACCCAATCTAAGAAAGTTATATACAAAGTAAAAACTTAACACGCTAATTGATCTCTAAATGAAGAAATCTCCTCAAAAATTGGAAGTCTCTTTGATCTAACTGGACCCCATTCATTCATCAACTGTTCCAAGCCTTTGATGAACTCATCATCCAGGCCCAAAAGATCTGACAGATGAGGTGGAGGTAGCATGGATCTCAACTCTGTTAGCAGATCTTGGGCCCGTTTCCTTGACTTGGTGTCTTCTGAGCCTGGAAGGTTTCCTTTCAATACATCTTCAAGAATCTCTTGTGCCTCTTCATATCTGGCTTGTTTAATCAGGCATAGGCCCAAGTTACAAGCCTTGTTACAATCTGGATCAATCATTTGGGCCTTCCGATACACAACCTCGGCCATCATGAAGTTCATTTTTTGCATGTAGGCCCAGCCCAAGTTTCCCTGAACAATAATGTTTAGGTGGGTCGGTGCCAAAATACTGATAATAATATTAAAACATAACTAGAAAGTTGAAAATTGAAATATGGAGGGGAAAAAAAAAATACTAGGGTGGTAGTCAGCATTGTACATATACGGATGGATTTTATTGAATATGATTTGATGTGGATTATTTATTTATAATTTATCTACAAGCTATTTTGTTCAATTACCAACCTGTGATCCTTAACATTTGTCCCATATGCCACTTTTATGGTACACTTACCTTTTCTTTTCATATCGTTATGATTAATCATTATGTCAGAATTAAATTTAAGCAAAAGTTCCTCCCTCCATCATATTTGATTAATTTTCCAAAAAGATTAAAACACCAATACATGATTTTTTAAGTGAAACAATTTTACTACGTTTTGTTAAAGTGCATTAGAACGTATACTGATTAAAAGCCTACTAACTATCTTTCAAAGATAGAATTGAAAAAGAAAAATTAATTGTGCATTAATATCATAAAATGTTAATTAAAATGGAAAAAATATTTTATTAAAAGGATAATCAAAGGAGTGTATTAACTAATTTATATGCAAAAATCAAGGCCCAAAACTGGTCATCGAACTGTAAAAAGGAAGTATAGTTAAGATGAAATACCAGTAATCTTGAAGTTTCTTGTTTAATAGAAACTTGGAACTTCTTGCCATGAGACCGTGCTGTCTTAGTGAGTTTCCCATTGAAGGCCTCCCCTTGGTAGATCAATTTTAGCTTTCTCTTCAGCAATTCTATTTGCTCATCTATTTTTCCACATTTCTATCATTCAAAAAATGAAATTTAATGTAGAAGTAAATTAAAAGACCTTAGTACAAGAACACTCATTCATTGTACCATCAAAGAAAAAAAAACAAGACACTCGTACATTGTACCAAAAATAAACATTCATTCACTGGAAATTAACAGGACATTGTTACAAGCAGTACACATTATAAAATTATTGAGAAAACTCTTGAAATTATTTGGGATCTACATCTGCCAAAATAAAAAGCCTTTGGGTTTGTGACGAAGTTCTTTGCCCTGATGATAACCATAGAATATAATTGAAGAAACAATATTATTTTAAGGTTTTCTACAATTAAAAATAATAATAATTAAAAGAATAGAAAAATGGGCAAATACTTCATAATCCAAGAAATAACAAATATAAAGTTAAACATGTGGAGCATCAAATGTTTTCTTAATATGTGCATAGCCATGACGGGGCTACAAAATGGACATAAAATTAATAATTAGAAAAGAAGAGCTTAAGGAGATTTATACCTTGTATAGATCTATTAATACATTATCAAGGGACTCTTGGGATTGTTTAGAGCAAAGGCCTCTAAATGAACTTATGGCTTCAATGGCCTCTTCAGATCTATCTAATTGCTTCATTACTACTGCCATATCCTTCAAAGCACTGTCCACTTTGTCCCCCGAATTTATGGCCTTCCAAAACAATACAATTGCAGCTTCCGGGTCCTTTTCTATCAGCTGCATGATTCACACAATTACTATTAGCACTATTATTATTGCTACTATTATTATTACTGTTATAGATCTTTGTTCAACTAATAATTAGCTTCAGCAACAAAATCTGAATTTTGAAAATCTAAATTTGAATGGCAATATCTTTCTTCCCCCCATAATAATATAATTGATTATTATTATTATAAATCCGAACTTCGAAACAGAATGAATGTAATTTGATCAAGTAAATAATTAAAAGAGAAAGAGAAAAGTCATCATTCAACAAAGAAATAAAAGAAGAAAGAAGCATTAAATTCATGCTGAGCATTCCAAGCACACGAGATTCATGCTTCATGAATCAAACAATGAAAGTGGGATCATGAATCACTCATCAAACAAAGACAACATGAGAGGAAAGAAAATAAATACATATATATACACACCTAAGTAGTGTAATTTAGATTTGAATTAATTAATGAAAAAAAGAAAAAAGAAGTTGAAGTGAAAAATAGGAGAATCCGAAAAATGGGTATAGTATAGTTGTACCTGAGCATGTTTAGCTCTGACATAGGGACTATCACCATAAGGAACCTTATGAAGGACATGGTAAAGGTCATCTTTTTTTCCTCTTGAGTAACTCTTGTTGTTGCTGTTCCAACCATTTGTTTCATCCATTAGGGTCATGAGACGCAGAGAGCACCGCAGAGGCCCAAATGAAACACTAGTGATGGGTGCTATCTTTTCTCTCCGGTTAGTTATGATCACACGCTTTCCAGTTTCAACTTTCAACGGAAGGAAAGGAAGGTGTTGGTGTTGAAACAAAGAGGATTGAGAACAACGTTGTGAATCTGGACGGATTCGCGTCCCTGTTCCTTTGCTTTTCTTGCTTCCCCACTACAGGCCCAATCAACGACTACAAAGCGACCTTGTTCCCATTTAGGAGACACGTGTCCTCTTCTGATTTTCGCTTCGCAAAGAACTTTCACCGTGCAGTGTCTCCATGGGATCAAAGAAATCATTTTTTAAATTTCTTTAAATAGTTTATTTCAGCGAAATTATTACTTTTCCAATTTTTAAGAATTTTTTTTAAGTTTATGAATAAATTAATCTTCTTTTGAAAATAATTTCTTTAAATTAAGTTGTCAAAGATGTCATTTATCATTCTTGAACTAACGCGTTTGTTATTAAATAGTTTAGTTTTATACTATTATAATACATTTTAATCATTCATAAAAAAAATGTTTGCATATATTTTTTATACTTTCATTTATATCATTAGAATAATAAGAAAGGGTTTCAGTTACTTAAAATTTTATAAATATTAAATTTTATTAATCCCATTACTAGAATAAACACGTTTATAAATATATAATTTAAAAATTTATATAATTATAAATTTATTTGATAATTTATCAATTATTTTTGTTCTAATGTATAGTAAATTTTTAAAATATAAATAAATATTAAAATATTAATTGTTGAATTACAAATTTATGAATTCTTAATTTATTTAAATTTAATAACTGAATTTATTATATAATGGTATTTATTAAGTTAAATTAACTTATAAAATTACTTTTAAAATGAGTAAATTATTTTTCATAATGAAAAAAATAATCTTAGCTAATTAATTTTTAGCTAAATTTCTCAAATATATTTTACGGATGTGATTATTAGATAGTTTAATTTAGAATCTTTAAAACTTTCTACATGAATTAGATAAAAACAGATCCAGTCAAATTTGCACAAAAAATGGATTATTCAGTATTATTTTTTACTTAAAAAAAATTCTCTTAAGAAAAATGAAATTGTCTTCCTCATTTCTTAGAGTTTCTTTCTCTCTTTCTATACCTTTTCTCTCTAGGTAGTCCCCCTTCCCCCCTTTCGTCAGCCCCTCCTTCCCTCTCTATCCAACCTCCCTTTCTTTTTTTCTGTCAGTCCCCTTTCCCATCCACTCAGTCCCCTTTTACCATTTCTCGACTATCCCCCTTATTCTTCATCTAGTCTCGCCATCTCTCTCATCTCTCATAACTTCTTTCTCTCTCTACAACTTCTTTTTCTCTTTGGACATCACCTTTCTCCTTCCTTTTCACCAAGCTCGTCTTCCTCCCCCTACACACACATCCATTTTTAACTTCTTTTGTAACATCCTATATTTTGATTTAAATAAATGAGGTTTGTTAAAGTATAATTGGAATAGATTTGGATAGAATTTATTTTTAAAAAAAAAAATGAAAAAAAAATGAACAGTAAAACCGCCTATGAACAGTGTCGATGAACAGTAATCCGCTTATGAACAGTGAAACCGCCTTTGTACAGTGACGATGACGTCATCAATGACATCAGCATGACGTCATGGCTGACGTCACATCCGCGTACAATCCGTGTACAGTACGTGTGAACAGTGTTTCCGGCGATGAACAGTAAATTCTGGCGGTGAACAGTAACTTCGAAAATTTTCTATAAAAAGGGGGTTGCAGACGAAATTTTTATTTCTTCACTCCTATCCAAGGTTCTCAAAGGTTTTAAAGTCATATCTCGCCATTTTCTCCCATACTAAACCTCCTAAACTTAGATTTTTCTTCAGATCTGTGATTCTACGTTCGATCTAAAGGATTACAAGTAAGTTTTTCTAAGTTTGAAGTTAGATTTACCGTTCGTTTCTCTTCTTCTTCTTCTTCTTATAGATGTTCATGATGTTCTTAGGAAAACCTCCGTTCTAGAGTTAAACTTTCGGTTAAATCTTTGTAAAAGCTCTGTTTTGAGGTAAGGGGGCTCTACTTTATCATTTTGTTATGTTTATTACTTGTATTCTCATAGATCTTGTCATGTATGTGATTATATGTGGAATAATCCTTGCTTTATGAAAAATAATCGGTGAATAGTGAGAATAATTGGCTGTTTATGTGATTTATGATGAATACATGGTGAAAATGTGATATTATGTCCAAATAAGGCATGATAAGGTATATTGAAGATGGTTGATATGATTATATGATTTTGTGATATGAAATATACAAAGAGATGGAAGTTTTATGTTTGAATATATTGTGTTTCATGTAAAAATGATGTGTATTGTTAATATGCCATGGTTTGATGTATATGATGAAAAGTATGTGGAAATATGATGAAAAATATGTGTGAACATGAGAAATGGCATATGTGAACATATGAATATACTCGAAAGAGTATGAGATGGAAAAAGATATGATGTAAATAGTTACAGAGATACACTGGGGAAGTGGAAGATGGAGACGATATGGGATATCTTGGGGAAATGCAGGGTGGTGAGTGACATTCGGGATTGTGCACGGAATATTGTGTTCGAATGCACCACATGGCCACACACTCATTTCTCGACTTGACTCCTGACCATTACCTTTGCTAAGGGGCCGTCTATTGCATGCGTTGTATCCGTATTGCATTGGGCCATCCGGCGACTATTTACATGGATGTGTAAGACCTCGGGATAGAGGCATCGGATAACTGTGGCCACAGGGCGCGGTAAGCGCGGATAAAAGTAAAAGAAATTGTGAATCTGTGTAATGTAATGCGCGTTGAGATGAGAATATGCTTTATATAACTTTGTGATATGTAATGTCATGATGTTTTCGTTAATCGTGATAAGATGTGTTTTGTGAAGAATGTATATGTTATGTATGAGTGGTAGGGTAGAGACTCACCCTTACACAACATTTTTCAGGAAACCAGGTTGAATAGTACCAGGCTCACAGTGCATGGATGGATGAGAACTGCTATAGGACTTAGTTATTTTGAGTTATGTAATGAATATTTTCAGTTCTATAGCGTTCTTTTGAAAATGTTGTAAAACTACTATTCCTCTTTATTGCTGATGAAAACTTTAGAATCTTTGTTTTCCTAAAGTACTTATGAATTAATGAAATTTTACTCTATGAACCTTATATCATTTCAATGTCTTTTCCTTATTAGAAAGTTTTGAAGGAAAATTTACTTTACCATATTAATTTTTATGAAAATTTATCATGTATTGAGGAAAGAAATATAAGGTGTTACATCTTTTTCCTTCCCCTCCACCCATCCTCACTCTCCTTCCCCTTTCCTTCCACCCAGCCTTCTCCTTCTCCCTCCCCTCACTTCCCCCTCCACCCAGCCCCTTTTCCCCCTCCTGTCAATCTCCTCTTTCCCCTCCACCCTGTCTCCCCTCCCTCTTCCACTCTCTTAACCACACATACTCTCATCTGCTCCCTTTCTCATCCCTTACAAATTTTGTAAAAGAATTTTATATTCACTTAGGGGAAAATAAAATTGGATTGTCTAGTTCTCATGTGAATTGGAACGGATTTGGATTCAAATTAGATCATTTTAAAAGTTATTACAAACTAAGCCTTTAACATTGCATTGTGTAACGCCCAATTTATTTGTCTTGCTTTGGAGAAAAATAGAAATTTTGGTACAAAATTTCTCGCTATAAGGAGAAGTAGATAAGAATGACCTAACAACACTCTCGCTATAGCGAGAAGTGGATAAAAATGACCTAACAATACTCTTGCTGTAGCGAGGATTTATCGCTATAACTAGAATGACAGACAACAAAGGAAAACTATTGTCTGATTTTTTGTTATAGTGAGAGCTGCTTGCTGTAGTGAAAAAGTCATGAGTTTGATGGGTATTTAAATAACTTCAGTCCTAGAAACTTCATTTTTTAAGCTAAACACCTTCCCTTTCATTTCTCTCTACTCTCTCACCTTCCCTTCCCAGAAAAAACTCTCTCAAACTTTGAATCTCTCCCAGATCTGAGCTTAAATTCTTATTTTTTTTCGATTCTAAGTAAGTTTGTCGGGATTTAGTTCTCCAAAGTCTGTTCTATTCCTTTGTTTTCTCTCTTCTTATAAGTGCCTTCTTTTGTGATATCTAGGAATACCAACTTAATAAGGCATAATCTTGATGTAATCCATATTGAGAAAAATATGTTTGATAATATCTTTAATACAATGATGGACATCAAAGACAACATAAAGATAATATGAAAGCAACAATATGTTTGAAGAAGTATTGTCGGTGAAAAGAATTAGAATTGCAAGAACTTCCAAATGGAAAAATTGTTAAGCCTAAAGCAAAATTCACTTTGTCTAAGGATCAAACAAGGATTGTATGTAAGCGGGTGAATGACTTTAAAATGCCTAATGGATATGGTTCAATTTTGCATCGATGTGTAAATATAAGATAAGTCAAACTATTTGGAATGAAAAGTCATGATTGTCATTTATTTATGGAGCGTTTGTTACCAATTACTTTTACTGCATTAACATATCAAGTGTGAAAACCTATAGCTGAGTTAAGTAAAATATTATTATTACAACATGTAAATTGGAACGAATCTTTCCACCTGGATTCTTTGACTCCATGGAACATTTACCAATTCACTTGCCTTATGATGCAAGAGTAGGAGGTCCTATTCAATATCAATGGATGTATCCATTTAAGAGGCAAATATTTACATAACTAACTTTGTAAATTTATTTTTTAGTTGTTTTCAATTAATATTTAATGTTATAATGTTATTTTAGGTATTTAAATAAGTTAAAATGAATAGTTAAAAATAAATCGTGTGTAGAAGGATCCATTTGTGAGGCATATTTGTGTCAAGAGTTTTTTCACTTTGTTCATATTATTTTGAATCTCATGTGGAATCACTGAGAAATAAAGTTGGTCGAAATGATGATGGAGGTGAAGACAATACAATTAAAAAAAACTTTATCAATTTTCAATCATTCTAGTCGTCTAACTGGTACTTGTACAAGTCAATATTTAAATAATAAAAA